TCGCATTGGTAAGTCCATCGATTCCCTAGGGGATGCGCATTGCCTCAACTCCCTTGTGTCCCTGCTCTCCGAAACCAGTACACTTGTCGCGTATATCAGAATGAAGCTAAGTTGTTGTCTGACCTTGTAGAGGTCTCGCCCAATAAACGCGCCGGCTGTACAGACGCCGTGTGCAAAAAGGAAGGGCTCAAGATCCAAAAGGGCGACCTCAGGTTTGGCTCTTGGACTATCATCAACGAGCACGGTTCTTGGCGCTGGAAGCACTGGTACGTTATCGTCTCTCCTGACGCGGGGTACGAAGTCATTCGCTTTTTGATGGACGCTCTGACGTGGAAACAACCATATAGGGGATGTGTTTCCGGATCCCAGCTTGTCAACCTTCAGGAAGCGTGTGGGAACGATCCTGACAACTATGACTTTGATGCAATTGACGGCTTTGATGAGCTGCAGTAAGCCAAGGCATTTGCGCCGTATCACACTGCTCCAATACGCTGACCTGCCGTGCAGAGACGAAGAGCTCAAGGAGAAGGTTAAGCGCTGCGTCAGGCAAGGCCACATTGACCCTGAGGACTTCAATGGGGTGAGTCTTTTGTTGCCTTTGCAACTTGGGCGTTGCCGTTCATGGTCTGACAAACTGCAGGATCCGGAGAAGAACAAGCCGGGTGAAAAGGGAATCCACCTTACCGCCAAACAGAAGGAGGCCAAGGAAAAGGCTGCTGCCAAGGTAAGTAGAATCCTCACGATGGGGGTGGTACTTTACTGATCAGCTTCAACAGGAGGCGGGCGAAGACCAAGCAACTGCATCTCAGAAGAACACCAAGCGTGGCCGCAAGAAGGCTGCCGATGATGTTGCAGATGAGCCTAAGCTGAAGAAGGCTAGGAAGTCCAAGGATATCAAGGCAGAGGAGGAACAGCCCAAGGCAAAGGCCAAGGCTCGTGCCAAGGGTGCAACCGAGGACGACGTTAAGGGGTCCGCCCCGGTCAAGAGGGGACGGCCTAGCAGATCGAGCGCTCAGCAGGACGAAGAGATGGAGAGTGAGGAAGCCGAGAAACCGGCTCCGGCCAAGAAAGCTGCTAAGAGGGGCTCGAAGGCGAAGACTGCCAAGACTGAGCCTGAAGAGGACACGGTGGAAGGGGAGCAAGTCAAGGAGGAGGAAGACGACGAGACAACGGAGGAGAAGAAGGTGGCCATTCCTGCCCGGGCGGCGAGCGGACGGAGGCAGTCTTCCTCTAGAGCCACGGCGGCGACCACGGACGAGGAGGAGGGCGCTGCCAAGGCCACTCCAGTCTCCGCTACCAAGGGCCGAAAGCGAACCGCTGCCGCGGCACAGGCTGAAGAGAAAGACGAAGAAACGACCAAGCCTGTTGCTAAGAGAGGACGCAAGGCGGCTCCCGCTAAGAACGCTGCCTCTGATGCCGTGGAGGGCGCCGAGGAAGAGGCGCCCAAGCCTAGAGGAAGAGGCCGGCCTCGCAAGTCTGTTTAGCGTGGCTGAAGCAGATCTACGAGTTCATATGTGAATCAAACAGCTACTGAAATGTGTGGTTATATCACCAGGGGAGACATTTGTGTCGAATGACGTGGAGTTTGGGAGATGGTGCAGCATTGTGACGGAAACGTATGCTGAGGGTTTTCTTGTTCTCTTTTTCTTTCCTAGCTCTGGTTGTATTATAATGCGGCGGCGGATCATGAAATGGATGAGATGGGCAGACTGTTGAGCAGGCGGAGGTTGCTCTAGTTGAGCACCCTGGTAGAGAACCATTCGTGTTATATGGCAGCAAACATTGCCCTGTATTGAATTACTTGTGTAGTGCTAACGCCCGGACACCTGAAGATGTCTTTGGCATTGGATGTACCTTAGATGATGCGTGATGGCGGCGGTCCAGCAGCTGTTGTAGCGGCTCGCAATACTACTCGGTGGTGCACCTAGGCAGA